AATGCAACAAAAGCGATGTTTTATAAGAATTCGGAAAATTTGGATTATCGTTAGCTGCAAAAAAAGTTCAGTTTTCAAATGAAACAAATTTCAGGTTCCAGAATATTTTTTCATTTCTATAAATTTAATAATTTCTATTTTTTTTTTATTGCTGATTAGATATGGTCCAGTGTAAAACCAAAACATATAGAAGGGGAATTTAAGATTTTTTTTTCTTCTTTGATATTTAGAATACGGCAAAAATAATAAACACTATTTATTTATTAATTTATATATTTTTACATTATTTACCTGAGATATCTTTTTCATAAAAAGTTAATTGGTAATTGTTTGGATGAGTTTTCGTTATTTTAACGGCATTCCTTATTTGATTTCGATTGTTATGATAAATTCAATAAGATATTGAAAATGGCAATCGTGGTATTATGGTGGATTGTACTAAAAAAGGTAAAAAGAATTTTTTTTTTGATTTCGTTATTTTTTTAATATTTTATCCATGTTTATTGTTTCAAAAAATATATGATTATCTAATATTAATTAAACCTAAAATATATGAAAATTTTTTGTATTCATTTTGGCCTTTATTGAAAATTTTTGATAAAAAAAAAAATAAATTTTAATATGATATATAGATTGTTGAATTTAATACTTATTTATTTATGGCGTATATTTTGTTGGTGCTTTAATTTGAAATGAACTTTATAAATTCTATAATAACGGTTTTTATATTTTTTTCTTAAATAATTTAATTTTATATTAAATGTTTATAAATTTATGAATAAAATCAATGTTTCAAAAGTATTAATTTTTTTAACCTTTATAAACTTTTGTGTTTTAATTCTATTAGGCATTATTAGATTTTAAACAAACAAGAAACATTTTTTAGAATTTTGGAAATTTAAAATTATTTTTTAAATTTTCAATTTAATAAATAAATATGTGTTTATTTTTTCTAAAAAATCTCAAGAAAAAAAAATTCCTATGTTATCGCCATTATTTTATTTAGATTTAGGCAAAAATTTCGAAAAGCATTTTTAAAACAATAAATATTGCACCCAGCTGGTAGTTAAAATAATAGCTTGTATTTAAAAAACATTTTATTTTAACTCCCTTCTTCTCAAAATGTTTATAGTTTTTTGATTACAATTGTATTCAAACCAAACATATGAAACCCATATATTTTTTTTTTTCAGAAGAATCGTTGACTCAAAATAAAAAACATTGAGATATTAAATTGTTTATTTAAATATTATTAGTTTATTGAAAAATTAGATTTTCAAAAATCGACGAATTGCCGATCCGTTCAAACTTTATAAAATTTCCTCTTATGTCTGTCTTTTATCGTTTGTTGAGATTGTTTATTTTTTGCCCATTCTGTTTATAAATTTCTGAATAAAAGATGTTTACATATTTTTATTTGTTATAAATTGGTAACAAAAAATATTTCAAAATATATAATAGCATTGAGTTTTTTTTTTTTTTTTTTTTTTTTTTTAAGCGTTTCACCCCAAGCAAGGCGGGAAGCCACTAGGACGCAAGGGGTTACAGAAAATTTGGAGCAAGATCAGATAGGAGTGATAGAAAAAAGGATGAGGAGAAGGGTAGTGGATAGATCAAGGCAACTGGAGATGTCGATTGACATTACATTTGAATAGCTGGAGATTATAGCTCTCAGGGAAACTGGAATAGGGAAGGGAGTTCCACAGGCGAGAGGTGCGAGACATGAAGCTATTGGAGTAGAAGAGACGGCTACATTTAGGAGTTTCGACAGTGAAGGGGTGAGAGCGGGATGCCAGCCTCGTAGGGCGCTTGAACTCATGAAGTCTGGGAACCAGCGAATGCAGCTCCTCGGAGCAATTGCCATGAAAGTATTTGTAAAACAGACAGAGAGAGGCGACGGCGCGTCTGTGAGAAAGTGACTGTAGACGAGATGCCAGAACAGGGCCAATTATATTGCATATCCGCCTCTGGAGCCTATCAAGAACCCCGAGGCAAACAGAAGGGGCTCCAGACCATATATGGCAGCAATACTCCATGCAAGGGCGAATTGTTGATTTGTAGATCTGGAGGATCGATTCCGGGGAGAAAAATTTCCTGGCGCGGCACAGGGAGCCAACTTTCTTTGCGGTGGACGAAGCAATTGACTCAATGTATTTGTTCCATCTCAGGTCAGCAGTCAACGTGAGACCGAGCAGCCGCAGAGAGTTGCTCTCGAGAAGTTGAGCGTCAGACATTCTAATGGAGGGCAGGGAAGGATCTCTGTGGTGATTAATAGAGAGCAGTTTTGTTTTTGAAGCATTAAAGTTGACCAGCCAATTCCTGCCCCAGTTCACAACCGATTGGAGGTCCTTTTCGAGATGCACGGCCAGGTTAGTTTTGTCAGTGACACTAGATTTGTTTTTGAGGCAGGAATAAATTGTGGTGTCATCCGCGTAGATGCCAACTTGGGAATTTATGGCGTCAGGAAGGTCATTTATGTAGATAAGGAATAGAGTGAGGCCTAGGATGGAGCCTTGAGGAACACCTGCATTCGTGGGATAGGAACTGGAGGAGAATCCGTTGAGAACGACCTTCAATTCACGGTTTGACAGGAATGATTGTATTAGGTCAAACAATCGACCCGTAATGCCATAACCCTGGAGCTTGCGAAGAAGGCCGGCATGCCAAACCCTATCAAATGCTTTGAGATGTCTAGGGCCACGGCACGAGCTTCCCCGTTATTTTGAAGAGCTTGGTAGACAGTTTCAGTGATGGCCGTAAGCACATCAGCTGTAGATCGGGCAAAGCGGAAACCATATTGCTTGTCTGAGAGCAGATCATGGGATGTGAGGTGGTTAACCACCTCGGTATTGATTAGGGCTTCAAAGACTTTTTTTTTAGGGGTAGGAGACTGATAGGACGGTAATTAGAAGGATCAGAGGGGTCGCCAGAGTTCTTGAAGACAGGAACAATTCGAAGAGGACTTCCAGCAAACAGGAAAACAAGATTCCTTGAGGCAGTAGTTGTATATAGTTTAGAAAAGGCGGGCGCCAGTTCAGGCGCGCATTTCTTCAAGACAATGGCTGGTATCCCATCTCCACCACGAGCCTTGTTGGGGTAAAATTGGAGATAACGCCCAATACCAAAGACGGGGTTATATGTAAACCCACTCAATAGGGCCTGAGTTCTAAGAGGGAAGTCGGGTATGGGTACACCGGAAGGAAGAGTCGAGCGTTGAGTTGAATGAAAATTTCCGAGCAAAGCATTCAGCCATGTCGGCAGAGGAGGTCAGGACTTCGAACTGGTTGAACAATGGAGGTATAGAGGGGTTGCAATTGTTCAATACGCTCTTGCAGAGCTGCCAATAATCTTTGGAGCCAAATTTGCGAGATGCAATACGCTCCTTCATCCGAGCAGCAAATAATGACATCGTTGAGGACACGCTTACACTCGTTACGGGCGGAGGCAAAGAGACGTCTATTGCAGTTAGACATGTCGCTACGGAATAGATGAAAAGAAGTGGTTCCTATGAGCGATGGCGGCTGAGAAAAAAGCAAATCTAACCAGGGGAGGAGCGCGACTTGACCCTATATTTCCTTGAGGGATGAAAGCGTCGATTCCAGCTTTAACCCAGGAATAGACCTCAGAACGCGTCCCAGTCATATTTTCGTTGATAGTAGAATAAAGTTCTAGTGGTAATTTAAAAGAAGAAAAGAAGCAGTTGAAAGAAGGAGATGTTAACAGATACTACCATGCTTTCAGAGTTACCAAGAGGGCAGAGTTGCGTGGCGCTATCATGACTCGGGGATGGAGGTAAAAAAGACAGATCGAGAAGAGAGGCTTTACTTCCTGGTTGAAGGCAAAACGAAAATTGGAAGTTAACTATCTGATGAGGGGGAATTGAGAAACTGAAAATTGAGCGTTTGAATGCCTTTGTGGTCAGGAGTAGCATTCTGGCTTGCTTGGAGAATTTGAAGATAACAGGAATAATGGGAAAGTGAATAACCTTAGAAACGAATTTGGTTAAATGGATGGCACAACAGTGACCCTGAAGGACAGAAAGAGGAAAAACATTTCTTAGAGGTAGAAAAGAGAAGGGTTTGTGGAGAGCCATGATCACCCCTAATTTCATGACTGGCACTGGGAACTTTTGAACAGAATTTTAAAATTAAGTATTAGTATTTTTGATATGTTTAACTTTCCTTCTAATTCATTCTAAGGCACGTAACGAGATCACTCCTCACCCTACACCAAACAATGTTGTTCATTAAATACAATGCCCAAGTGCCGCTCAAGGTAGAAGTTTATTGAATGAGTATATTGAAAGTATCAAAGAATCAAAACTCGAGATGCGAAAAATTAAAAGATTGTACTGAAAAATGGAAAAACAGACTTTTTCAAACGGTTCCATAAAATTGAAAATTCTAAATTGGGAAGAAACCGTGTTTGAAAAGAGACTTCCTCCTTACGAATGGAATACGAAATGAATGAGGAATATTTCGACCCTGGTGTAAGTGACTTGAAAAAATGATATACTATTGAAATTATTACCGTTGTTCATTATGTATCTATCTATATATATATTCTGCTAAACTAGTCATCATTCAGCAAATAAATCCCTTATTCACCCGCCTCGTCGATGGCATTTGATTCATCCATTTGTAGTACACGGTCCTATTCACAGAATACATGCCGCGTGAGAAACGACCTACTTGTAATGTGCCCACGAGCTGATGTTACGAAGTAGTGTTCGATGGCAAATGCTTTGAAAGGCGGACGTTTGAGTAGATGTTGTGCTGAATTGTAACAAGTAGAGGAGGGGTCGCCAACAGTGGGATGTACTGTGTGTCCACTTATTGCCGGTATTGTTATAATCGATATTTTCATCAGGTGAAAAGTGTTGGCTTGTCTTAAGAGCATTATGATCAGATTCCCTCATGGCCCCGAGCCTTTTAGATAAATCCTTCACAATCACAAATGGAATCCGTGAAGCCATATTACGTATGTAAAGAAAGGAATACTTACAAAGCGTGAGACAGGGAGAGATATAGATATATAAACAGACTGAGAGAGACAAACAGATAGACATATAGATAGATAGATAATGAACAGACTTATCGATAGAGAGATAGATAAGAACAGATAGATAAATAGATATGAACAGACTGAGGTTAGGTAGAATGATATAGGTATATGATATATATATATATATGCATGTGTTTTTCAATAGTGTGTATGGTTAGTGCTGGTCTCACTAGATCAGTTTTTACTACTTTTAAGTGAGTTCGATTCTTTACTGATGCCCCATGCTTTCGACTTTTTAAAACAATTCTAAGCTTCTGAAATGGAAAATTTTTATATATACATCTGTTTGTCTGCGTATATATATTTTTTTATATTTTATATTTTCTTTTATAAATACAAATATTTAAGTAAATGCTCTGTTTATAAAAAAAAAATTAACAACATTTACCAGTCTGAATGTTCGAGAAATTTTCATAGAAAATATGCGTCCTCCGACACGTATCGAACCTGTATCCTATATTAAGATAATGAATAAAATCCTTATGGGTTTGAAATTTAGACGTAAATATGAACATGAAATGAACATTTTAAACAATTATTTTAACATTTTTTTATGTTTAACGTTCTTTTAAAAATGTCTTAAAATAATTGTCGGACTTTATTTTCCATTTTAAATGTGTGATGTCATTTGTTTACATTTGAATACGCATCGATTAGATATTAAAATTTATAAAATCAAATGGAGAATTGTGGTTTTTTAAAGTAAAAATCGACCTTGTTAACCGAAAACGCTCTTCTGTGGCTCAATCGGTAAAAAACACGTCCGGCTAGATGAAATAACATTCCGTATTATACATATTCGTTTCAACTTTCGGAAGACTCATTTTTTTTTTTTTTTAATTACAATTTTCAGTACATGATTTTCTTACCTAAATAATATGTTTTTTTAGTTCCTATTAATGTTAACTCAAAGTAAAAGTTTGAAGTGCCTGCATGTAAAATATTTCAAATAAAGATTTATATTTAATAAAATTTTTTTTATTTTCAAGATCGATTTTATGATATACCCATGGTTTAGTAGTTTGTATCCAATGTTCACAAATGACGTCACACATGATTTTTTTTATTTTTGATACGCCTGAGAAGATATGAATGTACGTGAGAGATTCATGGAAGATTGAAATTTAAATACAGTAAATTAGACCTTGCTAACCGAATGCTCCTCTGTGGCCAAATCGGTAAATGCACATCAAGCTAACTGACGGTTCCGTATGGGATACAGGTTCGTTTCCTGTCGGAGGACGAATATTTCCTATGAAAATTTCTCGGGACATTCAGTCCGGTAAATGTTGTCTAATACTGTTTATTATAAACAGAGCATTTACTTAAATATTTGTATCTATAAAAACAATGTATAAACATAAAAATGTCTTAAAATAATTGTCGGGCCATTGTCCATTTCATAATATATATACTTTTTTATTTTTTCCTATTTTTCTTCTTTCTTCTTCTTCTTCTTCTTCTTCTTCTTCTTCTTCTTCTTCTTCTTATGCTGTCTAAGTAGTCCAACACTAGCAGTGGTTTACCTACTTCATGCCGCTAGCGAGTATTATACTTTGTTCAAATAAAAATTACCGTTTCATTTCCAACCTCCGTTTTGGTTATTCCTCGTTCAGTAACCCGCCCTAGTTTACAAAAAAAGAGCAATTGAAAGAAAATGTAAAAGTAGAAGAAGTGAATGAATAAGTATAAGAATAAGTGAAAGAAATTAAAAAAGTGAAAGAAGAAAAAAATGAAAGAAAATTGAAAGATAAAGTAGAAGTAAAAGAAGTTAAAGAAGAAATGAAAGAGAAAAGAATAAGAAAGAAGTGAAGAAATAAGTGAAAGAAGTGAAAAAGAAGAAGATAAAGGAGTGAAACAAGAAGAAGAAGAAGAAGAAGAAGAAGAAGAAGAAACTGTGAAAGAAAAGGTGAAAGAATTTGAAGTGGACAAAGTGAAAAAATTAGTGAAAGAAGTGAAGGAAGAAAGAAGGAAAGACGAATCGAAACAAGAAGTAAAAGAAGTGAAGGAAGTTACTGATATCAAAGAAATGAAAGAAGTACAACTGAAAGAAGAATTGGAAGAAAAAGTCGAAGTGAAGGAACAAGTGAAAGAACTGGAAGAAGAAGCAAAAGAAGAAATGAAGGAAGTTACCGATATCAGAGAAAGTAAACTAGTAAAATTGAAAGAAGAATTAAAAGAAAAATACAAGTGAAGAAACACGTAAAAGAAAAAAAAAGGATATTAAAAAATTCAAAGAAGTGAAATGAAGAAGTGAAAGAAGACAAAGTGGAAGTAAGAGAAATGAAGCAATAAGCAAACGAAGTGAAATAGAAGAAATCTCAGCTGAAAAACCACGAACACCTAGATTACTCTTGATGAAAATTTATAAAACCTTTCTAAAGATGATGGTAGCTACACATTGCCAATGAACAACATAGAAACAGAAGATTACTTTCCTCTCACTCGCTTTTTTTCATTTTTGTTTGACTTGCTTTATCATTATTATTTCTTTCACTTCAGTTTATTTCTTTTCCTATATTATTACTTCTTATGTTTTTGTTTCCTTCCCCGACAGATGTTCGCATCTGATTCCAATATTGTTATATCGGCAGCGGCGAGATAATGCTTACGTCATCTACAGTTTCAATTCATAAATTTTCTTCCATGCTTTTCTGTCAACTGAAACAATTTAAAAGCAAGAGAAACTACAATAAACAGAAAGTCCATTAATAATAATAATAATAAAAAAATCTATGGAATAATGACAGAAGACAAGCAGAAAAAATACACCAAGAAAAGCAACGAATGTTGTCGTGTATTTCTGACGATATTTACTAGGTTTTCTAATCGCAGTATCTTTATTGTTTTTCATTTCTTTCTCTTTATAGTCTTCTTTCCTTTCATATGTTTCCTTCACAATATTGTTACCGTTTTAATCTTAAAAATCTTTCGTCTTTATTCCTTTGTTTTGCGTTCTTTTTCCTTTTTTATTTATCGTCTGCTTCACGTTCATTCTTCTTTTCTCTGCCTACAATACGTCGCCTCGTTCTTCGGATTAAATTTCTTCAATCTTTCCCATGCAATTTTCCTGCCATTTTCCTGTGATATTCTCCTTCGCCATTTTTCTTTTCATGCCATTCTCCTTCTGCTTCTATATGCTATTTGCATTTTATTTCTATCTTCTTCATTCCTATACGCGTCTCCGCCTCCTCCTTTCCAATTCTCTTCTCCTTTCTAATGTTATTCATTTTCCGCTCCATTGCCAACCCGTATTTCTCTTGTTATACACCTAATCCTTTACTATTCACTCCCTATTATTATTTCATTTCTATCTCTTCTTTCTTTCCCATGCCATTTTCCTCCGCCTTTCCAATGTTATCCTCCTCCACCTTTCTCATGTTATGCAACTCCTCCTTCTTTCCCATGTGATTCTCCTCCGCCTTTCTCATGTTATGCATCTCCTTCTTTCCCATGTCATTCTCCTCCACCTTTCTCATGTTATGCATGTCCTTCTTTCCCATGTCATTCTCCTCCGCCTTTCTCATGTTATGCATCTCCTTCTTTCCCATGTGATTCTCCTCCACCTTTCTCATGTTATGCATCTCCTCCTTTCTCCGTACTCTTCCCCTCCACCTTTCTTATGCTATTCTCCTTCTCTTTTCTCATGCTATTCTTTTCCTACTTGCAAACTTCTATTGTCATTTCCTTTTTATCCCCTCTTTCTTTCCTATGTTATTTTCCTTCTCCTCTTTCTCTTTTCCCATGTTATCCTCCTCCACCTTTCTCATGTTATGCAACTCCTCCTTTCTCGTGTTATTCTCCTCCTCCTCTTTCTCCTTTTTGAATGTTATTCTTCTTCCTTCTCATGCTACTCTCCTCTTCTTCTAGTCTCCTCTTCCTTTCTCATGCTACTCTCCTCCTCTTCTAGTCTTCTCTTCCTTTCTCATGCTACTCTCCTCTTCTTCTATTCTCCTCTTCCTTTCTCATGCTACTCTCCTCTTCTTCCATTCTCCTCTTCCTATCTCATGCTTTTCCCCTCCTTCTTGAACATGCTATTGTCATTTCTTTCCTATCTCCACCTTCTTTCCCCTTCAATTTCCCTCTTCCTCCGCCTCTTCCTCTGCCTCTTCCTCCTTTCCCGAGCTATTCTCCTCTTTGGCATTCCATTTACCCGCCTTTTTCATCGTATTCTCCTCCTCCTTTTCCCATCCTATTCATTCCCATTCTCTTTCCTTTTTTCCTTTCTATCTATGCTATTGTCATCCTCTTCCTCTTTTTCTTATCTCTTTTTCGGCTTTTCTTTTTTTCATAAAATACCATGCACATTTTCTCAGCCATTTCTAATAATTACAAAAGCTTTTAAATTGACGTTTTACGTCGAGGTTGTTTCAACCTTGAACCAAATCACTGCTGTGTGATTTCCTCTGTCATCTTCAAACTAAATCCCCACAAGGCATGCGGATTTGCTGGTATCCCTGCAATTGCCCTAAAGAAATGAATTCATGAACAGAGGCTCCTGTTCTCCCTAAACTCTACAACAATTGCCTTAGTGTTTCTTTCTTTCTAGCTTGTAAATCCGGAAATATTCTGTAGTTCCATTTTTTAAGAACCCCGGGTGAATCGTTTGATTCAATAGAATTATCGACCTATTATTTTGGCAAATCACTACAATCCCTAATCAACTTTCAACTGGTTAAGCATCTTACTTCGCACGATCTTCTCACAAACAATATGGCTTTTGCTTCTCTAGTTTAACCGCCATCGGTTATTACTGAAATTTTCTGTCAAACTTTAGATAAGAACTTGACTGTTCGGGCTGCGGCTTTAGTTATCTCGAAAGCCGTTGACAGGATTTGGCATGCTGATCTTCTTCACAAGTTGAAGAGCCATAGTGTCTGTGGCCGACTGTTTCATTTGACCCAACCTTTCTTTTTTATAAATCGTGTAATGAAAATTGTATTGAACAGCAACTCTTGTAGATCATCTCACATGAATGCGGGTTTCACCACTCAGGCTTCTATCCTTGGACCTTGTTCATCAATGACCTTCCTGATGTCATCAGTTCGCACCTCTTATCTGTGCTGAAGACATACCTATTTACTCCTGTCTTAATAGTAAGTCACATATAGTAAAACCTCAGTTGGTCTCGAAAAAAAAGAAAAGAAAAGAAATGGCTTGTAAATTGTAAGCCTCTAAAACGAAACTACTGTTTTTTTAGCCACCATTGTTGACTATCATCAGTATGGCTGATGCTAACCCCCAAGAGAGCAATTTATTGCACCTTCTCAGTCTCATGTTTTCCACTGACATGAATTGCAACGATTATATTGAATGAAATGCTAGGTCTGTTGCTAGGAAAGTTCGTTTATTGCGTTGTGCCAGACAGTCTTACTTGCCAGAATCCATCTTGTACGTATATAAATCTACCATTTCTCCATGCATTACTGTCCCACCTCGTCTGGTGCCCCTTCTATATGTCTCTAAATTATTGACAAAATCTAAAGAATCTGTAAAGTTATTGGTTCTGACCTGGCATATCGGCTTTAGTCATTTCACCACCGCTGTACGTGGCTTCCCTATATCTTTTCTACAAATATTTTCATTTTTTTTACAGTAAGGTTCACCTTTTACAAGGCATGGGGGTCACTCTAGGGAGCTAGTTACATTAGGAGGTCGTTTGTGTGTATAGGATAAGGGTTAACTCGAGGCTTAGACAGGTTAAGATTGTAATGATCGGGGAAACATACTGTTGGAAGTCGGTTGTACATAACAATTGCCGAGGCGGCAGAGTGTTAGTTTTGCGGGCCGCCGTTGAGTCCGTAAGTCAGGCCGTCGCCGCCGGGACGAGCAGCCTCCGCAAGCCAGCCAGCCAGCCGGTCTTCGTTCGCCGTCGCCGGACGACCGTTGTGCGCCTCGGCCGGGCCGGGCCTCTGCCGCCGCAAAATCTTTCTGCCACCGTTGACCGCGTAAGGTGGGTCGCCGGACCGGGACCGGGACCGGGATGGGCAGCTTCCGCCAGTCAGCCAGCCGCCAGCCGCCAGACGGTCTTCGTTTGCCGTCGCCGGACGCGCGTCGTGCGCCTCAGCAGAGGTCGGCGTCAAAAGTGTACGGCCGAAGTGCCGACTTTCGACTTTTTGGAAAAAATACAAAAAGTAAATTTCGAAAACGAAATTAAACGTATTGATTGTTGTTTTTATGTCGTTTCTGATGTTTTTGAATAGTTTCTGCATTGAATAGTATGAAATTTAAAAAAAAAGCAAAGGTTGTTACACGTCACGAATCTAAGCGTAGTAATAGACTTAGCAACCAGATCTTATCATTTTACTATTAAAATAGCGAGATGTAACCGTAAGTTCTATTCTAAGAATTTCTTCTGCAGCACTTCTCACCTGTGGAACTCTCTTCCGGCTTCTTGCTTTAACTCTGTTGTAACTTATTAAAGGTTACTGAATAGAATAATCAAACGAATGTTGATAATGAGTGATAATACTTAGAACACGAACAACGCATATAAGATTCGCCAGCGGTGCGTAGAATAAGTAGTCAACTGCTAGTAATGAATCTCCAACTGCAGACCAACATACAGTATTTACTACTCTATTTATGTGAATGGGAGACATAGCCGTTATTGTGCGTATATATGCTACAACAAACTGTCAACTACTATCTTCAAAAGTGTAAATGTAACATCAATCGCCATCTTGTCTTCTTGAAACCTGTTCTTTTATTGTCTTATCTCGTCAGTAACGTTTCTTCATTTTTTTTTACTCCCAGTAACCCCCTTGCGTCTTAGTGGCATTATATCCATGATTGGAGAGAAATGGTTAAAAAGAAATGAAATATTGAATCGATCTGAGTTTTTTCCATATCAGGGGTTTTTAACGAAAGGAAAAGATGCGTTACGACCCCCCGGGAAACATCACATAAACCAAGAGAGATACACTGTTTGGAAACAGAAAATATCTATAATTGAACTTTATTACATAATGTTCATTTCGAGATGTTAGTGTACATTGTTAATGTTTCACGTGGCTTCCCTTAGCTTGAATAATTGTTTCAATTACTGCTGACAATCTCTTTAGTTCTTTTTATATTTGCTTGACGATATTTGAGTCAGGGCTCTGGGCTGGCAAATCTTTTGATACGGTAACACCTTCATCTGTTGTGTTGCACGCGATCTGTGTAATGGAACTCCGACATGCTGAAAAGTCGCGCCTTCAGCGAAGTTTAGTATCAAATGATTCTTCAGCAGTTGGATGCTTTTTGCATTATTCATGCTAACGTAAATTGGTAACAAATTTATTGACCAATCATTTTTTTATGCATCAGCAAAACATCACACTCTTACCTCCAAAGTTCACCATTTTCATTGTGCAATATGGCTCTTCACGCTTTCTTTTTCCAGCCTTGATAGGGTTCAAAAGCATTTATTGTAAGCGGTGAACTATTTCCAATCCTACAAGCTCTTTTCCCAAAGACGAAACGTTGCAGGCGTCTTGATTTCTATCGGTGTTTTCATGAATAAACTTCCGACTAGCTAGTTCCATCAGTTCAGACATTTACAGCTAACACACGTCATGCCATTCACACAGGAATGAAGTATCCTCATCACTTTGGTATACCATTGGTAAGGAAGAAGTCCCGCTCGAACAGTTTTTTTCTTATATAAGATGCACTACTTTATGGAATACACTCGCGAACACTACAATCTTACCCTATTCAAATCTAAGGACTACCGTTATCTATCCTCTATATCCTCATAATATCCATTTGATTCTCCATCCTACGTCCGTACAACAACCTCATCTAATATATCTCTACTTTGAGTGACTCTTTGGCCTTATATTGCATGAAAATGTATTAAATAATTCCAAATGTTCTCTTCCGTTTTTCTTTTTTTTTTCTTTTTTGGCATAATCACCAATTTCTACATTTTTCGATCCAAATTTCTCAGTTATTTTCTCGTTTAGTTTAGGAAGGGCCCTGAATAACCCTGAATGGAAAGGTTCTTACTTACTTGCTTCTCCCTTCTACGTCCATAGAACAATCATCATCCAAGCTTGTGGACTGGCGCAACAGAATCACCAACAAAGAACTGTAGCAAATCACATTACTCAAGGACTTTCAACAGCAGCAAGGGATAAAATGGATGTGTAACTCGAAGAGAAACTGATGACATAATCAATACGTTGACATTCCACGGTACTTCAAGCAAAAGGTTAGGAAGGAAACCCCTATCAATACTGAAAAGAGCAATAACTTGAAGAAGCCTTTTTTCTGAAATATTATTTTTAAATTTCAACACTGGCTGCTCGGTCAATGATTGCCGGATGCTTCTTTATAAGATTACGATTAACCTTGTGTGGATTTTCGGCTTTGGCTTCGGCGTTATATTAGGAGAACATTTAGTAAAAATAAAACATAGTTCATATCTCATTTACATTATTCGGACTATTGTCCTCATCTTTGTCGCCATATATAGCTGTTATATTGCATTGAGCACTATTTTATTGACATCACCACTCAAGGTGCAATATTATATATATATATATAGACTGTTTCGCTGTATCACAGCTCATCAGTGTGGCTAGACGTCCGGTTGCCTCTGACTAGGATCGAAACCCGACTGAATTGGCGTCAGTCGGGGATTCTGCCACTAAGCCGTTGGCGCACGGCTGGGATGAAGTTGAATATAAGCGTATTTATTTTTAGATAAACACACGATGACTGAGAGAACTCGATTCGATTTGCCGAAGAGTCTTGCATTATTAGCCGTAATAGTCACTGTTTACAAATCCACACTTCCTTCCCAGAGAGCTTAACTGAAATAAATTTTTCAGGAGCATATATATATATATATATATATATATAATCAAAACCCAGGTAGGCAGTGACAGGCCACGACTGAGTTACATGCGTTTACACGCAATCGTCAGACGGCCAGTAGTACTTACCAACCTTCAAAATTTTCCGTAGACACCGCATACGCTCAGTCATGTTTCTTTACCACGCCAGATGAGACAAGAACAGCGCCCCGCGCGCTGGCAGCTCAGACTGCCGATGGCAGGCGCACACTGGTATTTACCAACCTCCCCACAAGGTATGATGCGACACAAAACCAATTTTTATGTGGGGTAAATACCAGCCCACAGGATCTGGCAAAAATTCCCCGTAGACCCCGCCTACACGTAGTTGGGTCTGTCTACCATGCCAGACGAGACTATACCCTTCAGCATAGCCTCGTCTGGGTTCCTCTCCGACCGAAGGCAGAGAGTTCTGCAAGAACTGCACCTCGAGCCTGGCCAGCTCACGCTGCCGACGGCGTTTAGTGGTATTTACTAACCTCCTCACTATATTTTAGATGTTTTTTTTTATGTGGGGCAAATCTGGGCCCGTAAAAATTTTTCGTAGACCCGGCGTACACGGGGTCGGGTTTCTCTACCATCTCAGACGAGACTTCAGCATAGCCTCGACCGAATTCCTCTCTGTCCGAAGAGAACTGCGCCTCGCAGCTGCCGACGGCGGGCGACCAGTGGCTGTAGTTTGTAGAATAGGTACCCTATATACCACCAGGCGAGTTCAATATGACGGACAAACCAAACCCGCCCGGTGGAAGGGTAAACCCTCTGGCCAAGATCAAAAACAGCCGAAAACTAAAAAATGAATAAGTTCTACCGGGAAAGGCTTGCCTGTATGGTAAAGAAAAGTGCTCAATGACATAAGTGAAAATAGTCACTACCTACCTGGATTTTGATTTAATATAGAATTTTTATGCCATTTGGCATTTTGTATTTACTTTTTTGCCAGTAAGCATTTTGGAAATAATCTTTTTTTTTTAAAATCTTATTCTAATATATATATACGACCAATTTTTGGATTGGTTATTGTAGTCTATTCTAACGGTGACTTTGGCGGGATTGGTTTGTTAATTTGTTTATTATTATTTACTTTATTTATTTATTTGGGTTGATTAACTTTACTTCTTTTTTATGTTTTTTATTTTTATTTATTCTATTTCGTCTATCCTAACGGGATTGGTTTGTTAATTTGTTTATTATTGGTTTGGATTAATTTATTTTACTTGTTTTTTATTTTATTTTGTTTATTCATTTCAGTTTTCGATTTTTAATTAATGTAGAAAAATTTGTTTTCATGCCCACATTTTGAGATGAGCTCACATCGTTTATTTAGTAATTTATTTTGGTCTGGGAAAGTAATAATAGCTATTTTTTCCTCCAAGCAAAGTTTGAAGGTTTTTGATTGATTGTTGTAGGCTGATAATCTTTTCCTTATTTTCCATGATATTTTTGGTGTGATTTGTGTTTTGTTTCTAAATTCCCAGATGTACTTGGAAAGCATTGGATGAATAAATAGCTTTAATTATCTTCACAGACCAAAAACAAACTATTAAATAAGCGACCTAAGCATATCACCCAAATTTTTTTACTACGTTAATAAAACATCAAAAACCAAAAAGAATAAATAATACAAAATCAAAATGTAAAACAAGTAAAATAAATTAACCCAAACAAACAAATGAATAAATAAACTAGCCACTCCCGCAAAAATAACCGCCAGAATAGATTACTCACAATGCCACACTGACACATATATATATAAATAGTCAATGAAAAATCAAACATTCGCGGCCTGACGATCGCGTCTAGCATTTAACAGCCTATCACCTCTGAGTGTTGACTTCAATATTCACTTATATATATATATATATATATATATATATATATATATATATATATATATATATAGTTATTCTTAACCATTCAGTATATCCAATTTTAAATAATTAGACCTTATTAATATTATGGGGCTTTCTAATATTTAATATATGGTTCATATGTTAATATAAAATATTGAAATGTAGTATTGAGGGGGGATTATTGATACATATTATATTATGGGACTGAAGAAGTGACGTTTGAATATATAACTTAGTTAAATAATTAAAATTTTTTACAATTTCTGCTTAATAACTATTAATATTATTTTTCATTTTTCTTTGTAATTCTGGTTTTTCTAAGGTTCTTGATTGATTTTTAAGTTTTTTTTATGTACAATATTTATGCAATGTCTTCTTTTTACTGCATATAAATTTCCTATAAATTGTGACTTTATTAAATTATAAATTGATCCAATTTAATATAGTTATATATTATTCACTTATCGTTTAGGGTGACCTTCTAATATTGGTTCCTAAGGAACCTTAAATTACCTTATTCCAAAGGCATCTTTCCTACTTTTTTCCTTTTGCTAATGAAAAATCTTTTAAGGTAAAATTCTCGTAAGGGTTTTAAAATTTCTCCTAAAATTGCCGAAGGTTTTATTTTTTTATGTTATCTTACCCTTATTGGTTTGATAATATATATCAAATTTTTAACATTAATTTTCTCCTTGTGGATGGATGGGTATTAATTAAAGTAAGTTTAATTTGGAATAGATTGATCTGGGTGAGGGTAAAATTGTGATCGCTTATCATAATATATGAGTATATGCAGATATATACATGTAGGGATATGGGTGTATACGATATGTATGTATGTATAAGTATGGGGGAATGGATGCATGTATGTGTATGTGTATGTATATGTAGGTGAACACACACACACACACACACACACACACACTCTCTCTCTCTCTCTCTTATCATCTGTTTCTAAGATATGGGTAATTTAATACATCATTAATTCTGAATTATCTCTCTTCCATTTCACTGATTTAACCTCTTATTGTTTTATATAATTTTGATTGTTTGCATTAATATCTGAGGGTTTCTGTGGAACGAAACTTCAGTCGGATTACTACTATTAAATAGGTTAGCCTCTCTTTCTTCCCTGTTCCTCTCCACTTACACTTTGACCAACACTCCTGAGTCGCATTACTACATTCTCTCTCCCCTTCCTTTTCCTCTTTCTTTCCTGGCTGATCATCTCTCATATTACACTACTTACTGTCTCTCCTTGTATCCTTCCTCTCCTAGTTTTTTTCCTTTTCTTTTCCTCTCTTTCTGTTTTCCCCCTTCTAGACATTTCTATTTCAATAATCTACCACCATTGATAGTTTGAAGCAACCTCTGAAATTTAAATTTAAAATTCACGGGTGAAAATGATTATTAACTAATGGTGTCGTAATTCCAATTGTATGAAATATTTTGCTCTCTTTAAAAAATAAATATTGAGCGCTTTTTGGTGAATCAGTTTTAACATTTAATATTCAATGTTTAAAATTTCATATTGTGTTCATAGGATTCACTTGGATTATACCTACGGATTACTAACTATATATATAGTAGAGTAGATAAGTTGGTCAATAAAACAAATTCAAACAAAAGGATAGCGATGAAATCAGTACGAAAACATTTATTAATATTAACCAGGTGACAAAAATGAAACACGGAGATTGAGGTTCCAAGTTCAGAATTTTCGAACACGCCTGTGTTCTTTATCAGCGGACGTGAGAAATAAACAGAGTGCCGGTGGAAACTATCCAACATTAGTTTTTTGAGGCGGGTAGAATCCGCCTGTAAGTGAAATTAATAGAAAAATCTAGTCCCTGTTTGATTTCTCGCGTGCGAAACTTAATGTGAAAATAACTTAAATTTAAAAATTGTAATTGGTAGAGGGTGGGAGGCGTGTTAGATGTTAAATATAAAGAAAAAAAGATTGTAGGACCAGAGGTAAGGTATTAGTGTTGAAATATATATATATATATATATATATATATATATATATATATATATATATATATATATATATATATATATATATATATATATGATCCCAATAATTTTTATATGATCCCAAAATTTTTCATGTATAGTCAACTTTTTCATGGTAAACGTAATGTAGGCCGTCCTTGATTACGCTTCAATGATAAACTTAAATATAATTTAAATGTTTCAGACTCCCCTATAGAGGAGTTCGAACTTGCTGTTGAAAACCGAAAAAACTGGAGAAACACCCGCTGCCGTGGTATAACAAACTTTGAAAAGAATCATCTGAACTATCTGAGAGAATTAAGAATTAACACTAAATCTCGGGCTAATACATCAACTCACATGACGATCAACTTTTCAGTATGCCCTTCGTGTAGATTTGTTTGCAAATCCCGTGCAGGATTGTTGTTTTATACGAAACATAAACATAAAAACGGAACTGAAAAACACTCATACACCGAAAACGACGGAGAGTCCATATATATATATATATATATATATATATATATATATATATATGTATGTATTTCTTCTTTTTCTCCTCAGTAATTTTATAATTTTAAACTTAATAGTGATTAAATTTGGATTTTAAAATTGGTAATTTTTACTTTTAATTTTAATATCAAATTTTATCATATAATTTAATATTTATTGGTTAGAATAAAATCTTTTTTAATATTACCCCTATTTTAAAGATCTGAATAGCTATTATAACATGACTTCGTTATCAAGCTTTTTGAAATTTCCTATACTTGTATTTTGATTGGTCATTCTAGCTTTTGAAACAACGTTTTCCCCATGCGAAGGATCGTTAATTAATTTGAAACTTCTAAAACCATTTATTTTACATTCAACATCATCACTTGATAAGACACCGGATGTGTTGAGACGAAATGGCTATTTTTGTAGTGATTTTATAATATATTTATGTTATAATTTTTTAAAATGAATAATTATATCTGCTCTACTCTGTATTGAGCACTCTTTTAAGAATAGTAATTGTTGGTTATTGGAATTCATTCTGTATACACCAATTATATATATATATATATATATATATATATATATATATATATATATATATGTATATATATGTGTGTGTGTGTGTGTGTGTGAAAAAATATAGAAAATAGGAAAGAACTGGTTAGGTAAATAATTCAAAGTTCCTTAGTATTTTTTTTTATTTTTAAAAAATAGAGCTCGATACAAAAGTAGAGCATAAATATAATTATTTATTTAAGAATATGATTCCAACTCGCGACATAAGAAGTCTCATGTTTCAAGACAAAAGCCGAAAACTTCAATATAATTATTTGAATTAAATTGAATTAAAGTAAGCTCTGTTCCATCTTCAAGTTTTAATAGTATATTCATAATTGGAATCAAAATTTCCATGGTAACAGCCAGGTCGGATTGTTTAAATTGGGTAGGTGTGTGTTGGGTGTTAATAATACGTATCAGTATAGAGTTACTTTCATAGATGTCAAGTCAGGGTAAGGTGGGGGTGTCTAAATTTGAAACAAAAAACAGAGCTTACTTTAATTCAATTTAATTCAAATAATTATATTGAAGTTTTCGGCTCTTGTTTTGAAACATGACCTCTTATGTCACGAGTTGGAATCATATTTTTAAATAAATAATTATATATATATATAATCCAGTCATTGGATGTTATTCTATGTCCTGTGAATATATTTTTCTTATCGAGAGTGGCGCAGATGAGAGATGAATGAAAACTGGTTAAGCTTTCGTTTGTTCGTCTTTTTGTTTTTGCTATTCTCTTGTTTGCTTTACTTCTTTTCTATCTACCCGGTAACAATAATGTTTTTTTTTGTTATTCTTTCATCTTTGATTTTTAAAGGCCGTTTTCTTTTTTGCAATTATTGGTAAAGTTTAACCGAGGAACAGGAAAGAAATGACAAAAAACGATTTGTCAAAAAGACGTTTATCTCGAGACATCGTTATTACATTGTAATACCTCAGTAATCCTTACTGTTTGAAAAAAAAAAGCTATTTTTAGAATGTTAATTAGACCTTGACTATCTCTGTCTGTCTATCTATCTATCTATCTATCTATCTATCTATCTATCTATCTCTGTATAATTTTTTCTTTCTTATTCTTTTCTGATTCTTTCTTTCTTTCTTTCTGTGCTTACGACCAAAATCATGTTGAAACATCTGTTCGTGTACGATCACCGAAGTTAAGTAACGTTGACTCTGGTCAGTACCTAGATGGGTGACCGCTTGGTAATACAAGGTGCTGTAAGCTTGTTTGTGTGGGTGGTGAAATGAATAAGGGTCGAAATTGAAAATCGGAGAGTCGAGTTCCAATTCCAGTCGGGTTCGTTATATTCTGTTATGCTAAAATACGCTTGGGAAAGATCCACCTGTTATCCCTCCAGCTATGGATTAATTAGTGTATCAGTAATTTCGAAAAATATTTTCTGTCTTTAAATAACCTGCAAAAGGTTGATAAGCCATAAAAATTCAATCAATCTTTATTTCTAAATCCGTTACTCCCTCCGTCACTCTTTTCGCATTTTAATAAAACCATGACTATCTCTCTCTTTTTCGCCCCTACTCTCTCTCTCACTCAATCACTCACTAACACTCTATATCTATCTATCTATCTACAATCGTTTTGCCAACCTTCCTTCTTTCCTTCTTTTGTTTGTTTGTTTCTTTCAAAGTCTGTTAATCCTTTCGTCTCTATTTTCGTATTTTAATAAAACCATGACTCCCTCTCTCTCTATCTTTATACAATCTTCTTTCTTTCTTTCTTTCTTTCTTTCTTTCTTCTTATCTTTGCTTGTTTGTTTGTTTCTTTTTATCTTTTTACATTGTGTCTGTCTGTCAGTCTTTCTTAATTAATATTTTCAGATTCTTTCTTTCTTTCTTTTTCTTTTCTGATTTTTTTTTCTTTCTTTCTTTCTTTCTTTTCTGATTCTTTCTTTCTTTCTTTCTTTCTTTCTTTTCTGATTCTTTCTTTCTTTCTTTCTTTCTTATTCTTTTCTTTCTTCCTTTCTTTCTTATTCTTTTCTTTCTTCCTTTCTTTCTTACTCTTTTCGTCCACTTTGTTTCTTTCTCTTTTTGTCCTCTTTCATTGTTTTTTTGACATATTTTTTCATTCTTTTGTTTCTTTCTTTTTTTCCTTGTTCTTTTCTTTTTCCTTCTTTTAAAAAAAAAATCTGTGAATCCCTTCGTCTCACTTTTCCTATGGTGTGCATAGCTTTGGAGATATTTACGCATTTGCTCTTCCGCATTGTTCAAACCCAGGTAAAAACCGAAATGTCAAATTCACTCAGTTTAAAAAATTACTACGACATCTTTTATTTAATATCTTCATGCTCTATCGATGCGGAATATTGTCTTTCAATAAGAAAAACCAAAATATTCAAACGATGAAGTGCCACCTAGACATCAACCCTCTCATATCCCCATTTACAAGCTCTTTACAAAGATCAGTTAGGTTTGTTCAAAAGACTTTTTAAGAAGGTCGACGCATCAAACAGTTTCTGAAGTAAGCTTCTACCTCAAAAGAAAAAGTCTGAGTGTCCAACAATCAACTAGTTTAACTATTTGTTGAGAGATCAATAACTCTGTAGCCTGATGCTGAAAAATAATTTTCTTATTTATTTTCGCCCTTGCGCCGCCTTGTCAATACACTTAACCTAAAACTTCTCCATTAATCACATTTCTTGAAAATTATACAGTGAAAATTTCAGATCAGATTTCGGCTAATGCGTTAAACTACAAACTTATTGGACGACCACCAGAGACACATGAGTGTATATATATATATATATATATATCGAAATAAAAGTATAAAACTTAATATTACGAGACATATTAAAAAAACGGGTGAAGCAACAGGTTTCGCTCCCGCTCTTCAGGGCAGCTAGCCAATCCCTATTGCATTTGTGTTTATTGAACAGAGCAGCTATGTTGAGCAGACCTTAGTTACAGTTTCTGGTGTATTATTTAGCGTGATCAACAATCTGAACAAACCCTCGGTTACTATCAACGGCCCTGAAAAATTCCGTACGCCCTGGCCTTCTTTAGGAGACTGGAATTTCGAACCGAACCCTTTATGGTGGTAGATTGTTCTAGTTTCATGCCTCTTCCGGATGTCTCAGTTATTTCCCTTTAATTCAACTGCTGCAGCCTTATATTGAACTCTCAACTCTGGGTCTAGTCACTGAATCTAACCAATGCCTTTATCCACATGGCCATGCAACCTTGATGACATCTGTGGCTGAATATTTGGGACTTATAAACCTAGTGCTTCAGCAATCGTTTCCCCCCCCCAGTACTCATATTGCAGTTTTTACCAGAGCTTATATTGCAATTTTTTATTATTCATTGTTTTTCTTTAGCATTCTTTATTATTGGTTCCCATATTGTAATCTTTTCTACACTTGGTTGGCTCAGGAGATTTTTGTGACCTTGTATACGTGCTGATTCCTTAAGTTTTTGTATTTTCCAGTGATGTTTTCTGTCTAACATTTCAACCTCATCCCACAAGGGTCGGTGATCTCCCTTTTCCCTCTATGTGGTCAGCTACGCCTGATTTTTCTATTTCCCCTAGTGTTACTGCTTTACGATGTTCTTGCAATCTAACCTTAATGGGGTGGCCTGTTTTTCCTTTATATTTCTTACCATAGCTGCAGGGGATAACGTACACACAGTTCTTAGTCATGTTCTCCTCTGAGCGGAGTGGTTTCTTACAACAAAGTGTTGAACCATTTTTCAAGGTCGTCTTATAGACAATAGATCTTTTGCATTTTCTTCGATTATCCATTCCCATAGGGTAGGCAAACTGAAGGTATTTTCTGAGCACTGTTATCTTCTTGTACCTTTCTGTTCAACTTTGAAGCTGCTGCCATGTACCCAGGGTAGTTATTACGTTGTAGTGTACTACTTATACTGACTATTTCTTGTTCATATGTCTCTGGGTCGCCACTTATGATTTTTACTAAAACTTTGTGAATATGGCAATGAAGATGAAGATAATAGTTCGAATAATGTAAATAATGTAAGTAATCATAATACCTCATCTCAGAGATATAGACAGAAATTAAATTATCCCGGATGAAAGATACATTCCCATATATATATATATATATATATATATATATATATATATATATATATATATATATATTATATAGAAAATCTTATAAGTATAAGAAACTATACTCGCTCGGAAAACCTTCGGTTTCTTGATTTGCAATTAAACACGCCAATACCAAAGGGAAAAAAAGGTATAAAAAAGAAAGAACCAAGAACACGTACGTTAGCCGAAAATAATCGTCTAACATGCAAGTCCAAAGCCCAAAGAAAGTAACACCAATACGAGTACCCAAAACAATAAAGTGCTCAATACAATGAGCAGAGCAGACCTAGTTAAACCTACAGAGCCAGACAAACCTTGGTAGGTTTGTCTGGCTCTCTAGATTTAACTATATATATATATATTGTTTTCAAACATGTTTAGTTGAATAAAATCGATAAATTCTGACAATCGAATTTTTTCTTTATTTTTTTCAATTTTCAAAATTAGTTTTTTTTATGTAATCGGTAAATTTAATAAAGCTCATACTTTTTAAAAAATTTTTCCCGAGTACTTTCGAATGTTGCTACATTTGTTTTCGAGGATTGTGTTTTGTATGTGTTTACGTAACTGTTTCTGGTTAATTCAGGCGTTCTCACGCTGGAATCAGTTTCAAGTCCCTCTAAATGACATTATTTTAACAGTCAAACTGCAATTTCTATGTCTGTTTTATATATACTAGAATTTTCTGCAATACGATAACGCATGTTGAAATTCTAACAATATTTAGTTTTGTTGAAGTTATCGCTAACATTTTTGTCGAGATTTAAAAACTCTACGTTTTGTTCAATTTCACAAACCAATCGATGAAATTTGAATTTTATGAAATAAGGATTTGTTATTTTAATCATTAAATTGTTTTTAAAATAGTGGGATTATTTTGTATGTTAAATAATAAAACTTTATTATGCACATTTATTGTACTAAGCTATACACTCTAGTAAAATCAACTACACTTTGTACTCTTTTACCTGTTTGCCCCCAAAATTTTCTTTCGATCGTTCAAAGTATGGTTATTTTAGAGGGTGTACAGACGGAATAACGGAAGCACACAGAATTTATATATATATATATATATATATATATATATATATATATATATATATATATAATATTAAAAGAAGTAATCATGCAAACAACTAATCAGTAAAGTTAATGTAATTAATGGTGAAATCACTTCTCTAACAGATTTAATAAAGCATTGATTTACTAACCACTCGTTGAATGAGATGTTCCGTCGAATCTAGTACTTTTGAAAATCATCATATTTACATCATCAGGTATTAATATTTTTTTTTACAATTTTAAAGATAAGAATAGCGTCATTCAACGTGTGCCTAGTAAGTTAATGCTTCATTAAACTGGTTAGCGAAGTTATTTCCCCATTAATTACATTAACTTTCTACAAAACGCCATCTACAAATCCTCCACGACACTAATCAGGTCAAATAACTAGCCCAAAACTACGAGATTTCATCAGTAATATAACACATGCGTAAAAAATACCCTGCCAAAATTCCAACTTAATTATTGTTTCTTGTTGCGAAGCCACCCCCAAATTTATCATGGGTTAAACTTGACAGAAGAGTGAAAAAATATATATATATAAATAAAAAAGATCTCTTTGAGTCTTTGAAAAAAGAATGAAATCAATTATCAGATTTATACTTTGAGTGACTTTTGCAACGAATGCCAAATATTTGTGCTGTAGTAATCATGGCTAAAGGAGGATATTTTGACTAGAGCAAAATTTAATCATAAAATGCTTTTCTTCTTTTTGAGATAATAAAATGTCTAATAAAAATCCTGTTTGATTTTTTTTAACCATGAATAATAATTAAAGTACAAACCGTCTACTTTTTGGGCCAATTTAAAAATTACCAGTGGTCTCCCCAAACATTTGAACTGCAAAAATAATATATATATATATATATATATATATATATATATATATATATATATATATATATATAAGTATATGATTGGTGTATACGGAATAAATTCCAATAACCAACAATTACTATTCTTAAAAGAGTGCTCAATACAGAGTAGAGCAGATATAATTATTTATTAAAAATTATAACATATAATAGTTATGTTATAATTTTTAAATAAATAATTATATATATATATATATATATATATATATATATA